CTGGCCAGTGTTTCGAGAACTATGTATAACAGAAGTGGTGAGAGAGGGCATCCCTGTCTTGTTCCAGATTTTAGAGGGAATGCCTTCAATTTTTCTCCATTCAGAATGATGCTAGCCTGAGGCTTAGCATAGATTGCTTTTATAATATTGAGGTATGTTCCTGTTATCCCTAGTTTTTCTAGAGTTTTGAACATAAAGGGATGCTGTACTTTGTCGAATGCTTTTTCCGCATCTATCGAGATGATCATATGGTTCTTATTTTTAAGTCTATTGATGTGAATAACATTTATTGATTTCCGTATATTGAACCAGCCTTGCATCCCAGGGATGAATCCTACTTGATCATGGTGCAGAATTTTTTTGTCATGTTTTTGTATCCGATTCGCCAGAATTTTATTGAGGATTTTTGCATCTAGGTTCATTAGAGATATTGGTCTGTAGTTTTCTTTCTTTGAAGTGTCTTTGTCTGGTTTAGGTATCAGGGTGATGTTGGCCTCGTAGAATGAATTTGGAAGTTCTCCCTCTTTTTCTATTTCCTGAAGTAGCTTGAAAAGTATTGGTATTAGTTCCTCTTTAAAGGTTTTGTAAAACTCTGCTGTATACCCATCCGGTCCTGGGCTTTTCTTAGTTGGTAGTCTTTTGATGGTTTCTTCTATTTCCTCAATTGATATTGGTCTGTTTAGGTTGTCTATATCCTCCTGACTCAATCTGGGCAGATCATATGACTTAAGAAATTTATCTATGCCTTCACTATCTTCTAATTTATTGGAGTATAAGGATTCAAAATAATTTTTGATTATTTCTGTATTTCTGAAGTGTCTGTTGTGATATTGCCTTTTTCATTCCGTATGTTAGTAATTTGAGTTCTCTCTCTTCTTCTCTTCGCTAGCATGGCTAAGGGTCTGTCGATTTTGTTTATTTTTTCAAAGAACCAACTTTTAGTTTTGTCAATTTTTTCAATTGTTTCTTTTGTTTCGATTTCATTAATTTCAGCTCTGATTTTAATTATTTCTTGCCTTCTACTTCTTTTGCTGTTGTTTTGCTCTTCTTTTTCTAGGATTTTGAGATGAAGTATGAGATCATTTATTTGTTGGTTTTTTCTTTTTTTAAGGAATGAACTCCAAGCAATGAATTTTCCTCTTAGAACTGCTTTCAATGTGTCCCATAGATTCCGATATGTTGTGTCTGTGTTTTCATTTATCTCTAAGAATTTTTTAATTTCCTCCTTGATGTCTTCTATAACCCATTGATCATTCAGTTGCCTATTGTTCATTCTCCAAGTGATGTATGCTTTTTCCTTCCTTCTTTTATCGTTGATTTTCAGTTTCATTCCATTGTGATCAGATAAGATGCATGGTATTATCTCTACTCCTTTATATTGTCTAAGAGTTTCCCTGTGACATAATATATGATCTATTTTTGAGAAGGATCCATATTGTTGGGTCTTGTTTTGTGATCCATTCTACTAGCCTGTGTCTCTTAATTGGTGAGTTTAAGCCATTAACATTCAGGGTTATTATTGAGATATGGGTTGTTCTTCCAGCCATATTTGTTTATTTCTGTTACTAAACATAGTTTGTTTTCCTCTTTGATTATTTTCCCCTCCTTTACTGTCCTACCTCCCACTGTTGGTTTTCATTGTTATTTTCCATTTCCTCTTCCTGTAATGTTTTGCCAAGGATGTTTTGAAGAGATGGTTTTCTAGCTGCGAATTCTTTAAACTTTTGTTTATCGTGGAAGGTTTTAATTTCATCTTCCATCCTGAAGCTTAATTTCGCTGGATACACAATTCTTGGTTGGAACCCATTTTCTTTCAGTGTTTGAAATATGTTATTCCAGGATTTTCTAGCTTTCAGAGTCTGTGTTGAAATGTCAGCTGTTATCCTGATTGGCTTACCCCTAAATGTAATCTGCTTCCTTTCTCTTGTAGCTTTTAAAATTCTCTCCTTATTCTGTATGTTGGACATCTTCATTATAATGTGTCTAGGTGTGGATCTCTTATGATTTTGCTGGGCCTGTTCTGGGCGCGGGTGATGGCTCTGCTCTGCTCCTACTCCAATTGGGGTGACGTGCCTACCACCCCGGCCGGCCGCTCGGCCTGTTCCACCGATCGGTCGCAGGTCTGCCTAACTTTTGGGCACGGGTGGCGGCTCTGCTCTGCCCCTACTCCAATTGGGGTGTCGTGCCTACCACGCCGGCAGGTCACTGGGCCTGTTCTGGGCACGGGCGGCGGCTCTGCTCTGCCCCTACTCCAATTGGGGTGACGTGTGTACCACGCCGGCAGGCCACCGGGCCTGATCCGCCGGTTGGTTGCAGGTCTGCCTACCCTGCAGGCGCGAGCGGCAGCTCTGTTCTGTCCCTCCTCCAATTGGTGTGACTTGTCTACCATACCCGCGGACCGCTGGGCCTGTTCTGGGCGCGGGCAAAGGCTCTCCTCTGCTCCTACTCCAATTGGGATGACGTGCCTACCACCCCGGCCGGCTGCTGGGCCTGTTCCACAGGTCGGTCGCAGGTCTGCCTACCTCGTGGGCACGGGCGACGGCTCTGCTCTGCCCCTACTTCAAATGGGGTGACGTGTCTGTCGCGCCGGCAGGCCGCTGGGCCTGTTCCGCTGGTCGGTCGCAGGTCTGCCCACCTCTCGGGCACGGGTGGCGGCTCTGCTCTGCCCCTACTCCAATTGGGGTGTGGTGACTACCACGCCGGGAGGTCGCTGGGCCTGTTCTGGGCGCGGGCGGCGGCTCTGCTCTGCCCCTACTCCAATTGGGGTGACGTGTGTACCACGCCAGCAGGCCTCTGGGCCTGATCGGCCGGTCTGTCGCAGGTCTGCCTACCTTGCAGGCGCGGGCGGCGGCTCTGCCCTGCCCCTCCTACCACGCCCGCGGACTACTGGGCCTGTCCTGCCGGTCGGTCTCAGGATTGCCCACCTTGCAGGCGCAGGTGGCGGCTCCGCTCCACCCCCACTCCAATTGGGGTCACATGACCACCACGCCGTCGAGCCGCTGGGCCTGCTCCGGGCGCGGGCAGCGGCCCCGCTCCTTCCCTCTGTCTCGATGACAAAGCGAGAAAGACTCGGGTGTCTGTGACTCACCCTCCCTACCAGGAGACCAACTGTTTCTGTCGTGCTGGTATTGATGAAGTTCTCTCCTCTGCCGCTTTCTGATTACATCAGATCTCTGCCATGTTGGTATCCCATGAGAATGGCAGCATTTCGTTCCCTTTGCTGGGTAACCAAAGCAACGGGTGAGTCCTGACCGGCCCTCACAAGCCCCATCTCAGTCCCGTTGCCACTGCCCACAAAGGCTCGGTTGGTATTTACCTCCACAGTACTCAGCAGGACCTGGACCGAGAAGCAGTTTCCGTGGGCTCTTTAGCCCTGGGCCAGAGCAGTTCCGGGAGCCGGAACTCGGCCGCTCCGTGCTCGGTGCATGCTCTGATAAGAGCAGGCTCCAAGAAGCGGTTTCCGCGGGCTATTTAGCACTGAGCCTTAGTAATTTGTCTGCAAGCCGCAGGCGAATGGCAACCTGAAATTACTCGTTCTATGGCTGAATGAGCTGCGATCAATCGAAAACAACTTCTTGTATTTATTCTTCTATGAAGTGCCTGTTCAGTTCTTTTGCCCATTTATTAATTAGGTTATCTGGTGTTTTTTTATTGTTTTTTTGAGTTCTTTATATATCCTGGAGATTAATGCTCTATCTGAGGTACAGGTGGTGAAGATTTTTTCCCATTCTGTAGGTTCTCTCTTCATGTTCTTGATTGTTTCCTTTGTTGTGTAGAAACTTTTTAGTTTGATAGCAGCCCATTTATTAATTCTTGATTTTACTTCTTGTGCTTTTTGAGAAAATTGGTTCCTAGGCTGATATGATAGAGAGTTATGTCCCAAGCATTTTGAATGAGGAATACTGCACCTGTGTTACAGAGAATACAGATGAACAGCCAGGGAACAGATGCATAGGCAAGGCATGTGAGAAATGAGGTAGAGCTTCTGAGCTCTCTCCCAGCACCCCCTCTAGTCACCTGCAGGTGTTCAGGTATCTGTAAGCTCTTAAAACTTGGCTCTCTTGAGTTTTTGTTGAGGCTTCATTACTTAGGCATGTTTTATTACACCATTGGTCACTAATGATCAACTCAACCTTCAGCCCCCTCACCTTCCCAGAGGCTGGCAGGTAGGACCAAAGTTTCTAAATCACTGATCATGCCTTTCTGACCAGCCTCTATGCTGAAGCTATGTAGGGGACCCCAGCCACAGTCATCTCATAATCATGTCATAACATATGAAAGATGCCCTTACCTGGAGATCCTAAAGGTTTTAGTAGCTGCATGCCAAGAGCCAGGAGCAGAGACCAAATATAATATATATCTTATGTCACAATACCACAGTGCACAGGTTCTCAATGAGTGTCAGTCTTGTCTTCTCCTTAAAAGTTGCTACATTATTTAGACCTTTAAATTACAAAATAATTGAAATAGCTTTTAGAGGCATGGCTATAGTACAATAGATTAAAATATATAAAAGTATCAAAATATGAGAAAATAAGAGTTGACAAAAATTCAGAAAATTCAGAAATAATATGTTACTGAAATCTGGTATTTGTGTTTTTTAAACTTTTTTTATTACAATCCATTGCAGGACATGAATTGCATACATGCAACATTCCATGAAGCAATACTTATCCTTACTACTTGGCTGTGTGCTCTAATTTCTTTCCATTCTGCTCTACTATTTTCCTTTTCCTAAGTGCTGCTTCCAGCTTCCTCTATTGGGTCTTAACAGGCAATTTGGAAAACAGACTTAACAGTATGAAGATGAGAGCAACCCAGTTTGACTGTTTCCTAGAAAGCCATCCATCAGGGAGAAACCAGCATGTTTCTGAGTAGTCATAAATGAAAGAAGAACATTTGGGGATGGGATAACATGTCTGGGAAACTTTTCATGGTAACTTTGCTGTTCATTAGATATATGTTCAATTGGTCTTGCTAACTGCAGTATTGTTCTATAGCTAAGGAGACAACTGGCTCAGGAGAAGCACTTCAGGGAATCTCTTGAGAAATCTGAATCAGTCATGCTACTCAAAATACAGGAAATGGGATCAACAGTGGAAGAAGAACGGAAACAGGTAGATTTCTTCTCCTTATTTATATTAGGGAAATAAAAAAAAGAAAAACTGATAACTTCATCAATAAACTTTTTATTTTGCTAATTTCTTCTAGATTTATTGTTTAGTTTTCTTTAGTGACCTATTAGCATTCTTAGTATGATTTTTAAAAAATTAGTGCAAAATAAGAAAGGACTCTAATATTATGTATTGTAATACTCTTCATTTATGAATGAAGCACCAGAGAAATTAATTTGTTTCAGGTATTATAGAGGTGAACTCCTAACTCCTGGTACAATATCTTTCTTCTACACCAAGCAGTCTTTACTACAGGCATTGATTTTGAAAGGCATTGCCCTGGGCTATGTATATGATCTGGATAGAAAATAAAGACTAACCTGAACTAACAATGTTAACATTCAAAGAATGTTAATAAGTAAAACAATCAAGAATGTATTTACACTGCTGATTTCATTTATAATTTTAACACAATATTTTTGCCTTCATTGTAGTATTTGAAATATCTATATGTAAGTTAGAATACTTTAAATTCTAACTACCCAGGGCAATTGTATTTTCATATTTAATACCCATAATTAGATTATATAATTTTTAATATTTTAACCAATGACTGCCATTAACAGCAGAATTATTAAAAGGATTCTACTTAAGGAATTTAGAAATGGTTCTTTTTTGCTGTAACTTTTACTGCCTGTGTGATAGTCATTAGCCACTTAAGCTATTTAAATTCAATTCCTCACTCTGGCCACATTGTACCTGCTCATTAGCCTCTTGTGGCTAGTGACTATTGTGTTGAAGAATGCACAGAAGTTCTATTGGACAGCTCTGTTATAAGGCACTGCATTCTGTTGAGTGGTTTTTTGGGGGGGCATGGGGGACCGTACTGGGTATTAAACACACGAGCGCTATACCACTGAGATTTATCCCCAATCCTTCTTATTTGTTTGTTTTATTTTGAGAAAGCGTCTCATAAGTTGCTAAGGCTGTTCTTGAGTTTGGGATCCTCCTGTTTCAGCCTCCCCAATCACTGGGTAACAGAAATAAGCCACCATGCCCAGCTTCTGTTGAGATTTTAACTGTGACAACATATTAAATACTCCTCTTTTCTCTTCAGTGACATTGAGGTTGGAAATTCTGCCTTCCACAAGTTCTATAAGGTCATTTATTAGAAATCTTAACAGAAAATGAGTTTTTCTTTTACAATTTCAGGTGCACATTTTGCAGCAAAACTGTGTTGCCTTACGCAGTTCTATACAGGCCACCCAAGAACTACTGGCACAGGAGCAACAGAAAAAAGAAGAGTTGGAGATGGCTATCTCACAGCTCAAGTCTGATCTAAGTATGAACATAGATGCTAGAAGTCACACTTTTGTTAGTACTTTGAGATTTCATGCAAAAACTCCTATGATCCCAAATTCTTGAAGTAGCCAGTGTTACTGGCATTTCCCACAGTTCTGTATGTAAGTAACTGCTGATTTCTTTTCTATCTATAACACTGAAACAAAAATCAATGTTGGTAATAAAATTAGCACCCTATTTGTTGTAAACTATTCTTTTACATTATTTTCCCTTCTTATTTAAGTGTTTGGGTACTTGGGAACATTTGGTTTCCAGATATTTAGATTGAATACTGGATAATAAAATATTAATAAGGAAATAAGTCTGTTCTTGCTAACTACAGATTCTGTCAATTCCTCATGTCAAACTCTCCATTCTTCAGGTTATCAATATGTTTTGGTTAACCTATATTTGTAGAGATGGGTAGTTGTCAGATACTTAAATAGTATTTAGACTGTTTCCCTCATTTTATAGAGATGAGTGACACAGCTGGTAAATGGAAGAGCCTAGATTTGATCCTGAGTATAGGTACTCAATCATGCTGCTTCTAACTCATCAGCTCTTTGTCTTACCACTTTGTTAATATGTCATTGTAAAGCAATTTTTAAGTAGTTTCAACTATAGAAATCATGAAGAGTCATGTGTATCATGGTTTTTACAAAAATTATTTAATACTCAAAGCTAGCCACGGCTGTTCAAAATTATTTGAACAAAGAAATGGCAAAGCGAAGCCTAAACCTGGATCTTTTAACCCTTTAAGTCCCGTATTCCATCTGTTGCACCTTCTCTGCTCCCTTGCTGTATTGGGGCAAGGGAATAGCATAAAGGAAATGAAAATTATAAAAAATAAAACAAAGAGTAATCTGATCAATGTTTTGATTTTTCTAGTTCCACTTTGTGTGTGTGTGTGTGTGTGTGTGTGTGTTACTGGGAATTGAACCCATGGGCATTGTACATGTTAGGCAAGTGCTCTACCACTGAGCTACATCCCTATCTCTCTTTTCTTTTTTTTTTAAGATGGGGTCTCATTAAGTTGCCAAGGCTGGCCTTGAACTTGCAAGCCTCTTGTTTTCACCCTTCGGAGTAGCTGGGATTATGGGCATGTGCCACTATGCCCACCATTTGATTTACTCTTTTTAGTGGAAAATAACTTTCCTTAAAGTTGTTAGGTAATGAATTACTATATGAAGTTCTCTGACAATGGCCCAAGAAAACCTTCTGTCTTCTTATAATCATGTGCCTACAAAAATGTATGTTGCATTTTATGATGCTTCCATATTATCTCAGTTGAGCCTTACAGCAGTCTTTTCAGAAAGATAAGAAAATATACCTATTACACAGAAGAATAAAAAGATCAGAGAGACTGAACCCAATAACACAGCAAATAGAATAGCTGACACTAAACTGCAGATCTTTCTTTTAGTTGGCTATCTTATTGAGGTTTTTTAAAAATGTTACTTTCACATTGGTTAATGCTTTATTGTTTAATTTTGTAAAGAATATGTGAAAACCATTAAAAAAAGGAAGGTTCAAACAATGGTAATTCATACTAACATGAGGAAAATATGAATATAGTATGAATATCAATTATGTGCTGAATTTTTAATTATAGACTTTTTACTATAAGTAATTTTATTACTTTAAGGTACAAATAGTTATTCTAACTGGATTAATAAAAATGCCTTTAAATATTTTCAATGAATTTTAAAATGTAATTTTTTAACTTCATGTAGTAACAAAAATTTATATACCTGTTACTTAAAGTGATTAAATTGTTCTCCCAAGATAAACACTCCTCTGTCATTCTTTGATTAGTAGAACTTTCAAAATAGGTCATATAGTCTATCTTTTTGATTCTTCACACATTTTAATTAGAGTTTAATGAGTTATGGATTTATGTATTCAAAGAGTATGGTTTTTATAAGGTATATCCTATATAAAATGTCAGTTTTCATAATTTTCTGACTTTAGCATTGAAGTAAAAAAAAAACTAAAATATTTTTGGGCAGTGTCTACAAAGTCTAATTACTCTCAGAAAAGTTTGTTTTTGGTAACTGGTGATTGAACCCAGGGACGCTATACCACTGAGCCACATCCCAACCCCTTTTTATTTTTTATTTTGAGACAGGGTTTTGCTAGATTGCTTAGGGCCTCACTAAGTTGCTGAGGTGGCCCTTAAACTTGTAATCCTCCTGCCTCAGCCTCTCAAGACCCTGGGTTTACAGGGATGCACCACCACACAGGTGAAAGTTTATATCTTTTGACTAAAGTGTATAATGCCAAACTGTTCCCCAATTTTCTGCTTTTTACTTTCTTTTTATTGCCTATGCTCCTGAGTGGTTTCAAATGTCTTTCCCCCCCACATAAAATCCCTTCTGAGCTCCAGACTCGTATCTTTTTATTTTATTTTTTGAGGTGGTAGACATTGAACCCAGGTCCTTGTTCATACCAGAGAAGCACTCTACTGCTAAGCTACATTCCCAGCCCTTTTAAAAATTTTTATTTTGAGATAGAGTCTTTCTAAGTTGCCCAGGCTTGCCTTGAACTTTCTGCCTTAACTTCCTGAGTATCTGGTATTATAGTTGTGTACCATCATACCTTGTTAGACCAGTATCTTACTGCCAACTAAACATGTATATTTGAATGCTCTTCAGATGCATCAGAGCATATGGAAAACTTAAGAGTTTATTCATTTTTACCCATTCTAGCCTCTAAACATTCTCTTTGCCCTGTATTTCATAGTTGACGGGTCCTGCATCCCAAGTTCGAATGCGATAGATTCTCCTTGACTCCTCTATTGCATTTACCCTACTGATAACCACCAAGTCCTGACAGTCCTCTTTGTTTACTGTTTCATAAGTCCATTTTTCCTCTGCAGCCCTGTTGTTATCCTAAGAGAGCCAGCTCTCACTGTTTTACACTGATCTTCCTGCCTTTATTGAATCTCTCCAACAAAAAACTTCTGTGATCTCTCCAACAAAAAACTTCTGTTCAGCACTCTTCCTGGTTTAACATCCCTCAGACTCATCATCAATGCATTGAGTAGATAAAATGTTGTCTCATTTACCACTGTAAATGACTATAGACTAGTTTATTGATGATTTTATAATAGTTTTTGGCCTATGAAAATCAGAATAGAATCTTTGAATTCTTCTTTCACAAAATATTGATTAAAAAACTTAGTTTCTGAGGAGGAAAAATATCTTGTGTTTTCAGCGTAGTAAGTTATTATTGTCATAATTATATGGATTTTTGTTTTTAGTTTCTAGAGATGACCTCATTTCCAAGTTGGTCGAAGACAATAAGGTAAGTTTTCCTCTGTTTACTAAGTCATATTTTCTCATTCATGTTGTTTTTTACAGTCCTTATTGTTTATCTTAAAAACTTTAGGAAAAAAATTTAGATAAATAAGTTGCATATTCTGGATAATACTAGGTATTAGGAACTAAGTAATCATTTCTTGCAAGTTATTATAGTTTGAAAAGGTGAATTGGGGCTAGGGCTGGGGCTGTAGCTCAGTGGCAGAGCACTTGCTTAGCATGCATGAGGCACTGGGTTTGATCCTCAGCACCACATAAAAATAAAAAACAAATTAAACATAGTCATTCTGTCCATCTACAACTACAAAAATTTTTTTAAAAAAGGTGAATTGGCAAATATGATGAGATATTTGTGGATTTTGCCAATTTATAAACTATTAAAAAATTTCAATGAAATTTAAGAAATATAAATACATAGCAGTGTCAATGTATTCATTTCTACTGAACTGTACTACTAAAAATAGTTATAATGGTAATTTTCATATTTACTTTACCATAACTTTAAAAATATAAACTTTTTTATAGCTTTATTACACTTTGAAATTAATCTCTTGATGATGAGGATCCCATTTGGAAATTTTTTTCTGGTGCTGTCTCATCCTGTGTTGTGTGATGTTTACCTTTCCTGAAATGCTTCTCCTGGAAAAGTAGAAAAGTGTTTTTCTCTGTAGTGAAAAAATTTATACTATGTTCTTTCCCGTTCTACAAGTAGCTGGTAGAGAAAGCCCAACCTACAACTCACATCACTGTCACTCTCCTATCTCAAGAAAACTAGTTTGTGATTACCCCCTTCCAGCCTCCACTTCCAGGTAGTTCTTGATGAAATGTCTCTTAAATAATCCTTGAATGTACACCTTTTAAATTGCAAGAGCTTATTGCTAATAGGAAAAAAAATGCATATGCAATATAAGAAATCTGCAATCATAGAGTAGAACTTTCTTGATATAAGGATATTAGTAATATTTAGGTTATAGTTTAAGGAGTTCTTTCTGATTGGAATCCCATTGTGAGAATAAACTTAACAAATAGTTTTTTTTTAAAAAAAAATAGACCGTATTTTTAGAGCTGTTTTCGGTTTCTAGCAAAATTGATCAGAAGCTATAGAGATTTCCCAGGTACCCTCCTGCCTCTATACATGCCTCCCTTATTATCTACATGCTCTTTGGACTGGTAAATTATTACAAATTGATGACTATATTGACATAGCAAAGTCTGTAATTTACATTAGATTTCACTCTTGTACATTTTATGGATTTAGACAAATGTATGATGACATATATTCACTATTATAGAATCATACAGAGTACTTTCACCGTCCTAAAAATCTTCTGTACTTTATCTATTTATTACCCCTCCCCTTGGAACAGCTGATCTTTTTACTGTCTTCATAGATTTGCCTTTTCAAGAATATCATATAGTTGGAATCATATAGTACATGTAGCCTTTTTAGACTGGCTTCTTTCACTTAGTATTTTAAGTTTTTTAATTATGAATAAAGATGCTATAAATATAGCAATATAAACATAACTATGGGTAGGTTTTTTGTGGACATAAGTTTTCAGCTCTTTTGGGTAAACACCAAGGAGCGTGATTGCTGTATCATATATGGTAATAATAATTTGAGTTTGTAAGAAATTACCAAACTGTCTTCCAAAGTGGCTTTGTCATTTTTCTTTCCAACCAACAATGAATGAGAGTGCCTGTTGCTTTATATCCTTACCAACATTTGGTGCTGTCATTGTTCTGGATTTTTACTATTCTAATAGGTGTATAATAGTATCTTGTAATAAAGAGAAGTTTGGGAGTTGAAAATACTAAGATTTTTAATAATTTGTGTAAGACAAATATACATGTATCTCATTGGAAAACTTGAACAAGTACTGGCCAGAATACAGATAGGTATTTTTATAGAGATATGTATGATATCTTGTACATGTGAAAAAGGGAATTTTTTTTAATTCCAATAGAACATGCAAATGTCTTTCAACAAGGAACATGAAGAAAACACATATTTGAAGTCTGAAATATTATCCCTTCATGAAGCATCAGCAAAAACACAGGTAGATATTCACTGTTTTAAATGTTATTTAATTTTGTTCAATTAAAGAACCAAGGTTAATCTTGATTATATAAATGTATACTATATATATCATCAAACTATTTACTTTCATAAGATCTGTTTCATCTATGATGCATTATCAAAATAACTGTAGTTTTCATTTTGATCTCCAAATTTCTGTGACATAATAATATATAAGATCTATCACTAAATCATGGACTAGTTTACAGTTTGCTTTCTAATTTAGTTGTTAAATATGAATACCTCTCTACAATGAACTTAAAAAAGCATTTCAATGACAAGGGCTAAATATTATACTTTGTATCTTCTATAGCAAATAACACAGTCGGAACTGAACTAATGTTTATTGGATTTTGGAGTTAGGTGTAATCATTCTCAGTGAGGTGGTTGTTCCCAAATTTAGCTGATACTTTATCTATATTAATAAACACATGTACATTTTAGATAATCATCACATATACAGGAAAACTAGAGTTATCACAGAGCCCAAGAAATAGAGTTTATCACTCAGAATAACTTTTATGTTGGTACAATTTGATTACTACAATGTAAGGATCATAGTGTACTGTGCTTTCTTTATAATAAAGAAAATACAAATATGTCTTTATAAAATAATAGCAATATCTACTACCACTTTTCTATACTAATAGTAGTTAACATTTTTTTCTGAACCCATCCCACGTTCTAGGCACAATTATTAGCACCAAATATTTCTAACAAATCATAATTGGTAGAATAGTACTATGAAATAGAAACTATTAGCTACATCATAAGGAAGCTGACACACAAAAAGTACTAATAGTGTAGCTAATAAGTGACAGTTGGAATTTGAGCTCAGGCAATCTGGCTTTAAAGGGGGGAAGAACTATTTTTTCAAGGAGCAAGTGTTCTCCATGTGTCTCACTCCTAGGTATTCCTTGATGAATAGTTTGTACATCTGGTTATGACTTTTAACATGCCTCTTAAAGTGTTCCTAACCACTGTACGGCATAGTACAGTATACTTGCTAGATCATCTTTCATTTATCTTAAACATTTTATTTATTTTTTCCTATTTCTCCTTCAAAGTGATATGCCCTTATCCTTGAAGAACTTATTCATTAAAACACAAGGTCCTTGCCAAATCTACCTTGCAAAAATAGCTCAAAATTCAAAGGAACGTTTTCCATAATATAAATTTCAAAATATGAAAAGATGAGAATTATTAACTAGGGCTGGAGATGTGTAGCTCAGCAATAGAACATTTCTCTAGCATGTATGAGGCCCTGGGTTTGATCCCCAGTAGCAATAAGAATTCTCAACAAATTACATGTCTGATCTGTATCACAAGGTTTTTGTTTCATTCTAAAAGATTAACCTCATCATAGTAAATTCAGTACTATCTTTGGTGGCAAAGGAACTTAGATATTTCATGTTACTAGCTAAATATTTCTGAATGCTCATCATGTAGTGATAGAAATCAATTTAAAAAAGATTATCTGGGTATACATACATTGTAAATTCCATTCTGCAGATGTCTTGCACTAATTGATCAGTGATCAAAATTATGAAAAACAGATAAGTAAATTGCCAGATGCCTTAGTTGCTCCACCTAATCAACAAATCTCTCCTTTTAATTTAGAATTTTTTAGGATTTTGACTCCAGATATTTTAAAATACTCTATAAAGCAGTGAAATATTAATTGGAAATAGGTTAAATAAATTAGAATCACCCATATAGTGAGATACTATGCAATCATTAAAAGTAATGATATATAAGTGAAATAATTTTTTATCGAGGAGATCTGTGACTTGCTGTATATGTTGTCTTAGGTTTCAAATGACCAACTGAGTAGAAAGTGCTCAGAGCTAAGCAGTATGCTTCAGAATGCTACTGTGGAAAATGCCAAGATTATTGCTGACCACCAAGCCATTCTGCAGGTACTCATTTAACACTAGTGAACTTCTGCTAGAAGCAGCAGAAAGCCAACCTAAGAGGTCAGAAAATGTACATTGCCAACTAAATAAATAAAATATTTAAATGATTTCAAAAGTTTATTGAAGTATTATTATTTTTTATTAGTTTCCAGTTTTCATCAGAGGAATGATTTGGCCTTACACTTAGTACTTTTTCATGGTTTCTTTTCAAATATCATAACTTTTAAATAGGTATTGGTGTTAGGAGTTTTACAGAATTTGCAGCAGGCTGGGTAAACAGTGCCTCTTGATTATTGGCTAGTAGAGGTATAAAACTATAGAACTGTAGTCAACTCAGGGTGGAACAATGAGAAAGCTGAGACATTAAATTCTATTAAAAGAGATTTTATTTATGGAGATAAAACTTTTATATTATAAGTTAGTTTGGTATCTTTAATCAGTTATTCTGAAAATATACCCTATTAAATGGCATCTCAACTTATAAAATTACTCCTAACACTCAGGTAGAGCAAAAAATGATGACGCAGACATTTCAAGAACAGAACTTACTGCTGGATGCAGCCCATGCCAGCATCACAAATGAACTATACACAGTTCAGAATGAAAAAACCCAACTCCAAACACATCTGTAAGTAAATTACTGGCAATTTCCTATGTATCTTTCATTCTTGCACTTGAATTTCTTTAATGAAAATGTTTAATTCTGTGATTTCTGGGCCAGCCACAAAGATAAAATAAAGATGCTGCCTTCAACAATAAGTTTTGTTAGAACATTGTGGTAACTGCTCTTAGGCGAGAGTTATGTTCTATAAGAACACTTAATTATTCTATTAAAGCAGAACTCTCATTTAACTTTCATGTCTCCTTGTTCTCTTTGTGCAGGGACCATTTAATCCTTGAGCATAACCAGTGTATCCAGAAAGCACAGGATGCTGAGAAAAGAACAGCTGCACAAAAAGAGCTTCTAGAATCAACTATTACAAGATTGCGAGGTGAACTGGAAGCATCAATACAAGAGAAGAAGTGTCTGCTAGAGGAGAATGAAAGATTTCAGAAAGAGGTAGGGAAAAGCAGATTTATATTACCTCCTGCTTGCAGTGTGATTATACTGTTTTAAAATTCTACTCTAAGTGCAAAAGACATAAAAAGAAAGAAAATTCAGAGCAGGTTTTCTGAGTTGCTCATTAAAGAAATCTTTAGGTGGCTAATCTGTGCATTTTGACATGTGAAGTCATCTGGGCCTAATAGTGCAGTATACCTTATATAGCATCAGTAAATATCAACTAATAATTCACACATCCTCCTGTTAGTTAAGGGGTCAGATTTTAAAAATTTATTTTCCCTGAAGGAGTGGGACAGTGGAGGTTAAGGGAAAGAGCCCTTTTTTCCTAGTTAGGAAGGAATCAGCAGAGTCTGACATGCAGGCGTGTCTTTCTACTTGCAGGGCTCTTTGTGAAGTCTGCTCTGCCTCAGAGACTCCCTGATTGGCCCCTTTTCTGAGAGGATGTGATATCTCTGCAGTGTAGGTATTAACTAATATGCAGGATGTATCTGATATAGAAGAGCCTGTCAACTGCTGTAAAATTGACCCATTTCTTTTCCCCCTTGGGCAGGTTAATAAAACTGAAAAAGAAATAGCACAAGAGAAAAGCAATTGGGAAAAGGAATTAGCTAAAAACAAGGTATTCCACATTTTATTTGTTGATATTTCACTGTATTTCATTTCCTTCTGATTGCTGCCTACCATATCAGCTTATCTTAATTAGGAGATGGGAGATTTTTTGATTACCAAGTTGTAGGGGGAAAGGGAGTCGCAAAACTGATGCCACTTGGAACATTCTAGTCACTATTGCAAAAGGGTGTTTCTGGGGGACCTTTGCTTATTGAACATATAGAGTTTGCTAGTGAGTCTTCACTGCCTCTGGCCTTAGTGTTCCCTGAGTATTTTAGCCAGAAAGTTCCCTGAGAGTGAGCTAATGGGCCTGTAAGAGGCAAAGGGATGATTGCAGACACTGCTGGTTTAAAAAAAGAAAAAACTAATTTAGGGTTCTTAAGTACCTATTAGCACCTGCCACTCTATCTTGGAGGTACCCTTTTCTCTTTCTCTTTTTAAAATTTTTTCAAAAACCTAAGACATAATATTGGTACATCTTTATTGGGTACATTATGGTAATTTAGTACATGTGTACAATGTGTAATGATCAAATCAGGGGAATAAGCACTTCCATTTCTTAAAACATCAATATTTGTACATATCAAGAATGTTGTATTCTTTTTCTCAAAACATTTGGAAATGTATTTGTATTTCTGTGATATCAGTTGTAATGGCTCTTTTTTCATTTGTTTATTTTTTTATTGTTTGTTTCTCTCTTTGCTGGTTAGTGTAGTTAAAGGTGTGTAATTTTTGTCTTTTTGAAATACCAACTCTGATTCGTTAAATTTTGTATGTGTGTTTTTAGTTTTGGTTTTATTTATTTCTGTTCATTATTTCTTCTACTAATTTGGAATTTGATTTTTCTTTTCTAAGTCCTTGAGGTACACTAAAAATTATTTGAAATATTTTTTGATGCATGCATTTATTTATATTCACATATTTATTTATATATATTTATTTATATATTTCTACTTGCTTTTGCTATATCTCAGATTTTGATATGCTTTGATTTTCATTTTTCAAGACATTGATTTCCCATTTAATCTCATCAATTATACTTAAATCATTTAGCAACATATTGTTCAATTTCTAAGTTTTTTTAACTTTCCATTATTCTTGTTGATTTATATGTTTATTCTGTTATAGTCTAAGGAGATACAGAGACAATTTAATTTTTTTTCATTTATTGAGACTTTATTTGTCACCTGCCATGATTTATCCTGGAAAATGTTCCATGTAATGATAAGAAAAATATAATATTCTGCTGCTGTTGGAAAAATATTCTGTAAATGTCTGCTAAGCACATTTGCTCTATAGTATGATTTAACTATGGTTTTTTAATTGATTTTCTGTAAGGTTGATCTGTCTATTGAGGACTGTAGGGTGTAGAAGTACATAACTATTATTATATTGGAGCCTGTCACTCCCTTTATATATAATATTTGTTTTATATTTATATATTTGGGAAGTCTAGTGCATATATATTTACAATTGCTATAACTTCTTGATGAATTCTTTTATGAATATATAATGAATTAATTTTTATACTTTTTAAAACTCTTTTAAATTTTAAAAAATTTGTATGACAACAGAATGCATTTCACTTCATTGTACACAAATGGAGCATAACTTTTTATTTCTCTGATTGTACACTATGCAGTCGCATCATTTGTGCAGGCATACATCTACCTAGGGTAATGACATCATTCTCATTCCGTCATCTTACCTACCCCATGTTCCCCCCCTCCAAGTCTCCTCTTTGCCCAATCCAAAGTTCCTCCATTATTCCCATGCCTCCTCCCCCCATTATGGATCAGCATCTACTTATCAGAGAGAACATTGGCCTTTGGTCTTGGGGGATTGGCTTATTTTGCTTAGCATGATATTCTCCAGCTGTATCCATTTACCTACAATGCCATATTTTCTTCTCTTTTTAAAAAATATTTTTAGTTGTATATGGACTCATTACCTTTATTTGGTTTATTTAGTTTTTTATGTGGTGCTGGGGATTGAACCCAGTGCCTCATGCATTCTAGGCAAGCACTCTACCACTGATCCACAACCCCAGCCCTTTTATTTTCTTTTAATGCTGAGTAATATGGCATTGTGTATATATACCACAGTTTCTTTGTCCATTCATCTATTGAAGGACATCTAGATTGGTTCCACAGATTAATTATTGTGAATTGAGCTGCTATAAACATTGATGTGGGTGTGTTACTATAGTATGCTGATTTTAAGTCGTTTGGGTATAGACTGAGGAGTGGAATAGCTGAGTTGAATGGTGATTGCATTCTAAGTTTTCTAAGGAATCTCCATACTGCTTTCCAGAGTGGTTGCACCAATTTGCAGTAGGCCACCAGCAATGTGTGAGTGTACCTTTTGCCCTACATCCTCGCCAGCACTTATTCTTGCTTGTATTCATGATAATTGCCATTCTGACTGGAGTGAGATGAAATCTTGAGTAATTTTGATTTTATTTCTCTAATTGTTAGAGGTGTTGAACATTTTTTTTCATATATTGGTTGATCAATTGTATATCTTCTTCTGAGAAGTGTCTGTTCAGTTCCTTAGCCCATTTATTGATTGGGTTATTTGCTTTTTTTTTTAATGTAGTGTTAGATGGACAGAATATCTTTATTTTATTTGCTTGTTTTTATGTAGTGTTGAGGATCAAACCCATTGCCTCACACATGAGAGGCAAGCACTTTATCACTGAGCTACAGCCTGAGCCTGGGTTATTTGCTGTTTTGGTGTTAAGTTTTTTGAGTTCTTTATATATCCTGGAAATTAGTGTTTTGTCTAATGTTCGTGTAGGAAAGAAGTTCTCCCACCCTGAGGGCTCTCTCTTTACATTATTGATCATTTCCTTTGCTTAGAAGAAGCTTTTTAGTTTGAATCCATCCCATTTATTGATTCTTGATTTTATCTCTTGCACTTTAGGAGTCTGGTTAAGGAACTCAGGAACTAATCTGACATGATGAAGATTTGGGACTACTTTTTCTTCTGTTAGGCACAGTGTTTCTGGTCTAATTTCTAGGCCCTTTATCCACTTTGAGTTCAGTTTTGTGCATGATGAGAGATAGGGCCTTAATTTAATTTTGCTGAATACGGACTTCCAGTTTTCCCAGCACCATTTGTTGAAGAGGCTATCTTTTCTCCAAGGTATATTTTCAGTGCCTTTGTCTAGTACAAGATAACTGTATTTATCTGGGTTTGTCTCTGTGTCTTTTATTCTGTACCATTGATCTACATGTCTATTTTGGTACCAATACCATGCTGTTTTTGTTACTATAGCTCTGTAGTGTAGTATAAGGTCTGGTATAGTGATGCCACCTGCTCCACTCTTCTTGCTAAGGATTATTTTGGCTATTCTGGGTCTCTTTTCCAAATGAATTTCATGATTGCTTTTTCTGTTTCTATGAGGAATGTTGTTGGGATCTTAATTAGAATTGCATTAAATCTGTATAATACTTTTGGTACTATGGCCATTTCGACAATAATGGCCTATCCAAGAACATGGGAGGTCTTTCCATCTTCTGAGGTCTTATTCAGTTTCTCTCTTTAGTGTTCTGTAGTTTTCATTGTATAGGTCTTTCACCTCTTTTGTTAAATTGATTCCCAAGTTTGTTTGTTGAGATTATTTTGAATTGGGGTGGTTTTCATAATTTCTCTTTCGGAGCTTTCCTCACTGATGTATAGAAATGCATTTGATTTATGGGAATTGATTTTATATCCTGCTACTTTGCTGAATTCATTTATTAATTCTAGAAGTTTTCTGGTGGAATTTTTTTTTGGATCCTCTAAATATGGAATCATGTCATTGGCAAATAATGATAGTTTGAGTTCTTTTGTTCCTATTCATAGCCCTTTCATTTCAATTTTTTAATAGTTTTTGGTTGAAAATCAGCTTCATCTGATGAGTATAACTACCCCTCCTCAGTTTTGGTTTTTGTTTGCATAGTATATCTTTTTCATTTCATTGTGGGTATCTATACCAATGAAGTGAGTTTCTTATAGGCATCATATAGTTGGATCTTGTTTGTTTTTAATCCATTCAGCCAGTCTGTCTTTTGATTGATTAGTTCATTTATATTCAAGGTTATTTTTATGGTTTGGATATTTTTATTATTTTACTTATTTATATTTATGTGGTGCTGAGGATCAAACACAATGCCTCACATTTGCTAGGTAAATGCTCTATTAGTGACCTACAACCCCAACCCTGTGGTTTGAATCTTAAATGTCTTCCCAAAGTTCATGGATTAAAAGCTTGGTACCAACATAATGGTGCTATTGGGAGGTAGTGGAAACTATAGGAAGTTGGGCCTAGTTATAGGAAGTAGGTCACTGGGTGTATGCCTTTTTTTTTTAATTTTTTTATTGTTGGTTGTTCAAAACATTACAAATTTCTTGATATATCATATTTCACACTTTGATTCAAGTGGGTTATGAACTCCCATTTTTACCCCATATACAGATTGCAGAATCACATCAGTTACACATCCATTGATTTACATATTGCCATACTAGTGTCTCTTGTGTTCTGCTGCCTTTCCTATCCTCTACTATCCCCCCTCCCCTCCCATCCCCTCCGCTCCTCTCTTCTCTCTCTACCCCCTCTACTGTCATTCATTTCTCCCCCTTGTATTATTTTTCCCTTTCCCCTCACTTCCTCTTGTATGTACTTTTGTATAACCCTGAGGGTCTCCTTCCATTTCCATGCAATTTCCCTTCTCTCTCCCTTTCCCTCCCACCTCTCATCCCTGTTTAATGTTAATCTTCTCCTGCTCTTCGTCCCTACTCTGTTCTTAGTTACTCCCCTTATATCAAAGAAGACATTTGGCATTTGTTTTTTAGGGATTGGCTAGCTTCACTTAGCATAATCTGCTCTAATGCCATCCATTTCCCTGCAAATTCTATGATTTTGTCATTTTTTAATGCAGAGTAATACTCCATTGTGTATAAATGCCACATTTTTTTTATCCATTCGTCTATTGAAGGGCATCTAGGTTGGTTCCACAGTCT